ACTGTGGGGGGGAAGACATTAGAGTGTAAGCTCCTCTGGTGCAGAGACTGATGTGCCTGGATCAGTGTTCTCTGTACAGCGCTGCAGTATATGTCAGAGCTATAACAACATACAAATATTAATTCTGACCTGCAGACGATGTTGTGTAGTCTCCTCGGCAGTCACTAGAGGGAGTGTGTGCAGCGAGGTGGCTGCGGTGTCAGCACAGATCAGGACGCTGTCTGCGACCACCCCGCAGGATCCACGTAGGGTGTGAAGCCACGGGGTGAGAACATCGACCTGTAACCACACAAACAGTCAGGATATGTCAGGACTTCTCCTTTTACCTACAGCAACACTGATTCCCAACTAACCTGCTTTGTGAGGGATCCGTCCTCCACACTGAAGGTCAGGATCCGGATGTGATCACCTGGGACGATCCCCACCACATGGAGCAGACCTTTGTAGGAGGAGTGAAGCAGCTGGTACTGGACCGTTCCACTGGTAGAAGAAACACACAAATGTTTTTTAAAGAGACAATGCCACCGGCCTATAGAGAGTGAAGGGAAATTGTGTCCTGAAAGTCTACTATCCCACTGCAGGAGTGCACCGTGTAAGCTCCGGTCACATGATGGGGATCACACGCTACCCTATACCTGGAACCTTCCAGCCCGCTCACACTGACCAACCCCCTTATGACCACAGGACAGGAGTGGCATGAAGATGGCAGGAGAAACCACCAAGCTCATCGAGGTAGACAAGAGATCGACACTCCCGAAATATCGATTTCAGAAGAAACTTCAGGCAGTGACTCCACGTCACGGGAGCAGTGCCTGGCGGTGCAGGTAGCGGGAGATCCAAGCGATCGCTCCCTCTTTATAGAAGCAGCTGTATTCTAAGGGAAACGTTTCTGTGATACTTAGTTACAGAACTCTTCAATGAGTCAGCTGATCCTTCATAGTCAGAGGCCCATCGCCAAATTCCTACCTGTCCGGGAGAACTTCAGACCATTTTTGGTGCCCATTGGACAGGTAATGGAGGGACACGACAGAATTCTTCAGTACCGCCACATAACGCGCCACTTCCTGGGTGCCGGCGAACCCCACAGCCTGAAAACTGAAGGAAGGCATTCATCATGATTCAAAACATGGAGATGGAAGCAGCCATATTGTGTGCCAGTCCTGTAAGGATGACACTGATCTACACACTCCAACCGCACCCCTCCGAGCCCGACGCTCCAACCGCGCCCCCCCCCAAGCCCGACGCTCCAACCGCGCCCCTCCGAGCCCGACGCTCCAACCGCGCCCCCCCGAGCCCGACGCTCCAACCGCGCCCCCCCCCCGAGCCCGACGCTCCAACCGCGCCCCCCCCAAGCCCGACGCTCCAACCGACCCCCCGAGCCCGACGCTCCAACCGCGCCCCCTCCGAGCCCGACGCTCCAACCGCGCCCCCCCGAGCCCGACGCTCCAACCGCCCCCCCCGAGCCCGACGCTCCAACCGCGCCCCCCCCGAGCCCGACGCTCCAACCGCGCCCCTCCGAGCCCGACGCTCCAACCGCGCCCTCCGAGCCCGACGCTCCAACCGCCCCTCCGAGCCCGACGCTCCAACCGCGCCCCTCCGAGCCCGACGCTCCAACCGCGCCCCCCCGAGCCCGACGCTCCAACCGCGCCCCCCCCGACGCCCCAAACCGCGCCCCTCCGAGCCCGACGCTCCAACCGCGCCCCCCCGAGCCCGACGCTCCAACCGCGCCCCTCCGAGCCCGACGCTCCAACCGCGCCCCCCCGAGCCCGACGCTCCAACCGCGCCCCCCCGAGCCCGACGCTCCAACCGCGCCCCCCCGAGCCCGACGCTCCAACCGCGCCCCCCCCGAGCCCGACGCTCCAACCGCGCCCCCCGAGCCCGACGCTCCAACCAAGCCCGACGCTCCAACCGCGCCCCTCCGAGCCCGACGCTCCAACCGCGCCCCCCCGAGCCCGACGCTCCAACCGCGCCCCCCCGAGCCCGACGCTCCAACCGCGCCCCTCCGAGCCCGACGCTCCAACCGCGCCCCTCCGAGCCCGACGCTCCAACCGCGCCCCTCCGAGCCCGACGCTCCAACCGCGCCCCTCCGAGCCCGACGCTCCAACCGCGCCCCTCCAAGCCCGACGCTCCAACGCGCCCCTCCGAGCCCGACGCTCCAACCGCGCCCCTCCGAGCCCGACGCTCCAACCGCGCCCCTCCGAGCCCGACGCTCCAACCGCGCCCCTCCGAGCCCGACGCTCCAACCGCGCCCCTCCGAGCCCGACGCTCCAACCGCGCCCCTCCGAGCCCGACGCTCCAACCGCGCCCCGCTCCAACCCCGCCCCTCCGAGCCCCTCCTAAGCCCGACGCTCCAAACCGCGCCCCTCCGAGCCCGACGCTCCAAACCGCGCCCCTCCGAGCCCGACGCTCCAGCCGCGCCCCTCCGAGAACGCTCCAAACCGCGCCCCTCCGAGCCCGACGCTGAACGCGCCCCTCCGAAGCCCAACCCGCTCCAATGAACGGGAACCCCCCGAGCCACTGAACGGGAACCCAACCCGGCCACTGAACGGGAACCCAACCCGGCCACTGAACGGGAACCCAACCCGGCCACTGAACGGGAACCCAACCCGGCCACTGAACCGGAACCCAACCCGGCCACTGAACGGAACCCAACCCGGCCACTGAACGGGAACCCAACCCGGCCACTGAACGGGAACCCAACCCGGCCACTGAACGGGAACCCAACCCGGCCACTGAACCGGAACCCAACCCGGCCACTGAAACGGGAACCCAACCCGGCCACTGAACGGGAAACCCAACCCGGGCCACTGAACCCAACGGGAACCCAACCCGGCCACTGAACCCAAACCCAACCCGGCCACTGAACGGGAAACCCAACCCGGCCACTGACGGGAAGCCCCCAACCCGGCCACTGAACTCGGAACCCAACCCGGCCACTGAACGGGAACCCAACCCGGCCACTGAACGGGAACCCAACCCGGCCACTGAACGGGAACCCAGTTCAGCCCGCCAATGTTGGCTCACAGGATCTGAGCACCCGGCCACCGGATAGTGTGATGGCATCTGAGGAAAAAAAGCACAATAAAACAACCTACTGATAAACAAGCATGCAGCTAGTGAAGACAGAAGAAAATCAGTCAGCTCTGCTTGCTTGTTCTGGGTCAGCGATGCAAAGTTTAAATGCATTTCAGCCATGACAACCTTGTACTATCTATGCTCATGAATACAGAGCATCGATTGGCCAGATGGCACACACACAACTTTCCCCTCCAAATGGTATCGTGTGTCTAGACCGAAAAGTCGATGTTGTCAGACGAAAGCAGCACTGACCTTGACCGTACATCAGCAGAGCATCAACAGCGCCTTCAGCGGTGTCCTTATCGATGTGACGCCACACTGAAACAGACGGACGAACTGTCAGTTCAGGAAAGGACAGTTAACCAGCTGTGGACACAGGATGTACAGAACAACAAACTTCACTGGAGTACACACAACGTGCATTGTAACATCCTGTCCCCTCTCGGCAATTCTCTGCTGTCCAAAGGGCAGCCAAGAGTTGCTGTGTGAAAACAGGAGGCGATAAAAGCTACTGGTGTAAAAAAAAGAGACTGCTTCACACAGTGTTTATAAACATCGATCAGACGGGGGAGAAGGAGAGATACAAAGTAACATTGTTTATAAACATCGATCAGACGGGAGATAGAGAGATACAAAGTAACATTGTTATATAAACATCGATCAGACGGGAGATAGAGATACAACAGTAACATTGTTTTATAAACATCGATCAGACGGAGATAGAGAGATACAAAGTAACATTGTTTATAAACATCGATCAGAACGGAGGAGAAGAGATACAAAGTAACATTGTTTATAAACATCGATCAGACGGGGAGAAGGAGAGATACAAAGTAACATTGTTTATAAACATCGATCAACGGGAGATAGAGATACAAAGATACAAAGTAGATAAAATAACATTGTTTATAAACATCGATCAGACGGGAGATAGAGAGATACAAAGTAACATTGTTTATAAACATCGATCAGACGGGAATAGAGATACAAATTGAGCAATGTTTATAAACAGATCAGAGGGAGATAAAAGTAACATAAACATCGATCTAAAGGGACGGATTTAAACAACCCCAGTTGGTTTAAAAATCGATCACGCAAGAGAAGAAAGATAAACAAAGTAACATTGTTTATAAACATCGATCAGACGGGAGATAGAGAGATACAAAGTAACATTTGTTTATAAACATCGATCAGACGGGAGATAGAGATATACAAAGTAGCATTGTTTATAAACATCGATCAGACGGGAGATAGAGATACAAAGTAACATTGTTTATAAACATCGATCAGACGGGAGATAGAGAGATACAAATAACATTGTTTATAAACATCGATCAGACGGGAGATGAGAGATACAAAGTAACATTGTTTATAAACATCGATCAGAAACGGGAGAAGAGAGATACAAAGTAACATTGTTTATAAACATCGATCAGACGGAGAATAGAGATACAAAGTAACATTGTTTATAAACATTCGATCAGACTAGGGAGATTGGAGAGATACAAAGTAACATTGTATTATAAACACGATCAGACACGGGAGATAGAGAGATACAAAAGTAACAGACATGGAGATAGAGAGATAACAAAGTAAAACATGTTTAAAACATCGATCAGACGGGAGATAGAGAGATACAAAGAAACATTGTTTATAAACATCGATCAGTAACGGGAGATAGAGAAGATACAAGAGTAACATTGTTTATAAACATCGATCAGACGGGAGATAACAAGATTACCAGATACAGTATAACATTGTTTATAAACATCGATCAGACGGGAGATGGAGAATACAAAGTAACATTGTTTATAAACATCGATCAGGACGGGAATGGAGAGATACAAAGTAACATTGTTTAAAACATCGATCAAGAGCGGGAGAGAGAGATACAAAGTAACATTGTTTTATAAACATCGATCAGACGGAAGATAGAGAGAACAAAGTAAACATTGTTTTAAAAAATCCGATCAGTACGGAGAATAGAGAGATCCTAAATAAACATTGTGCTATAAACATCGATCAACGGGAGATAGGGTGCCATATACAAAGTTAACAATTGTTTATAAAAATGCCAATGAACAAGGGTGGATAGAAAGATACAAAAGAAAATTGTTTATGAAAATCGATTTTTCGGACGGGAGGATGGAGATATACAAAGTAACATTTGTTTTCAAAACATCGATCAGTTTCGGAGGGAGAGAGATAAAAGAAACAATCAGACGGGAGATGGAGAGATAACAAAGTAACATTAAGAAGGGACATCGATAAGCACGGGAAGACAGATAGATACAGAAGTTAACAACATCGATCAGACGGAGATAGAGGGATACAAAGTTAACATTGTTTTACCCAAACCTTAAATGAGGGGGACAAGGGGGAGAGTGTGTATGTGTGTTGGGGGGGGGGGGGGTTTGTGTTCAGAAACTCCCACCACCATGTATTTTTCCTGCTGTCTGTGTTCCATTGGGGAAGGTTGGGTGGGATTCCCCGTTTCAGGAGTTCCAGTTCGTCAATTGCGGAGACAGGTGGTGTCCGCCCCTGTGTGCATGGAAGATTTTTCCCCCTCTTGGCTTCCTGTTTTGATGACAACACAAAAACGTTGTCCTTTCCCAATCACGAACTGTGTTCGGTGACACCACAGACAATGACAGTATGAATCTTCCCTACAGGTACACAGACGAGAAGTAACAACCGGACGGGCCCCAAAACTGCCACCACTCCCACCCAACAACCAATGAAACAACAAGACAAAATATCTCTGGCAGGAGACAGACGCCAACCAATGAGGGTGGAGGACTGGGGGACTCAACGGATGTCCTCCGTTTCCTGGAGTTCAGGGCGACGATGATCATTCTTCTCTCTGTGGGCTGCGATGAGTTTTCTTTTCTTGTGCTCCTCTGTCCGGATTCAGCACCTGATCGAACCTGAAGCCGTCCCACATAACTGCTGCCGCCTTGCGGAGGGGAGAGTTCAGTGAGACATGGGGGGGCGTCACACTCATAAGGTCCTCATAGGGAGGGAGATCAGTGATGACGAGTGGGGGTAACACTGTGGTGGGAGAGGAGGATAGATGATGACAAGGGGGGGGGTCACACTGTGGGGGGAAAGAGGAGGAAAGTGATTGACAGTGGGGGGTCACACTGTGGAGGGGGAGGGAGTGATAGTGATGACACACGGGGGGGGGTCACACTGTGGGGGGAGGGAAGTATATGATGGGACTGGGGGGGTCACACTGTGGGGGAGGGATGGATATGATGACATGGGGGTCACACTGTGGGGGGAGGGAGGATAGTGATGACAGGGGGGGTCACACTAGTGGGAGGGAGAGAGGATAGTGATGAAGACGGGTGGGGATCTCACACTGTGGGGGGAGAGGATAGTGATGACGGGGTGGGTCACACTGTGTGGGGGAAGTTGGATAATGATGACACCGGTGGGGGGGTCACACTGTAGGGGATTGGGATAATGATGATGGGAGTCACACTGTGGGGGAGGGAGGGTCATGATGACAGGGAGGTCACACTGGGGGGAGAACAGGTAATGTTGATAGGGGGGGTTCACACTGTGGGGGGGGGGGATAATGATGACGGGGGGGGGGAGGAGGAGTAATGATGATGGGGGGGGTCACACTGTGGGAGGGGGGAGGGGGGGGAATAACGATGACAGGGAGATCACAATAAGTGGGAGAGAGAGTAATTGATGACGGGGGGGGGGGGGGGGGGGGGTCACAAAATGATTGACGGGGGGGGTCACAGGGGTGAAGGAAGAGAAGGAAACGATATATTGGGGTCCCCCTCCTCTCTCTCGGGACACTCACCAGTCAAACTTGCCGACCTGATCCCTCATACACCGCCCAGCACAAAGCCAGCACCTCCAGAATCACCGCCAGCCGGTACAATCGCCGCCATGACACCCAGAGACCGGCCACTCCTCCACTGCACCACCGAGTAACCGGAGAGGAGGACAGAGTGTCCCCGCCTACCATAGAGTGCGTACATAGGAGGAGAACAGAGCGGCCTCTTCGTGAACCATAGAGATAGGGGATAGAGCGGCGCGGCCTACCATAGAGCGTATACAAAACAGAAGAGGAGGAGAAGGGCAGAGCGGCTCCAATGTACTATAGAGTGTTCACAGGGGAGGATAGAGCGTCCCGACCTACCATAGAGTAAAGCTAGTAGAGCGCCCTCTATACTTGGCGGAGACCTAGCGAAGAAGTCGGGGTGTTCTTTTCTGTGCCACACCCGGACCGATAATATAAAGCCCGCCTGTGTTCACCACAGACCGCCCGGAAGGGTCAGGAGGGTCTCCGGCCCGAGTTTCGATATTTTTAGTCCATGGCAGTGGGAGGGAGCAGCCTCGTGAGATGTCACCCATGATGCAGCGCGCGGGGTCCTCTCATCCCCCACATGCAACTGCTGGAGGAACACGTGATAGAGGAGGGATGGGAGGGGGGGATAGGGGGAGGAGGTAGGGGAGGGGAGGGTAAAGGAAGGGGGGGGTAGAAGGAGGGGGATTCCTGGGGGGGGAACCCTCAGGGGAGGTGAGGGGGGTACGGGGGGGGCTTTGGGGAGGTGAAGGAGAGGGGTCCCGGGGGCAAACAAAAAAAAGGTTTTTTTGGGGTTTGGGGGGGGTTGCTTCAAAGTGGGGGGGAGGGGAAGGGGGGGAGGGGGGGAAATTTACGGGGGGGGCGGGGGGGGAGGAGGGGAAAAACCGGGGGGGGGGTTTCCAGGGGGGGGTTGGGGGGGGGAAGGCGGGGGGAAGGGGAAAATAACGGGGGCTCATGGGGGGTAAAGGGGGAGGGGGGGAAGGGGGGTGGGCCATTGGGTAAGGGGGGGTACGGGGGGGGGGCCTTTGGAGGCGGGGGGGGGCAGGGGGGGGGTAAAGGGGGCCGGGCTTGGAAAGGTTTGAGGGGGGAAACAGGGGACTCATGGAGGGGGGGGGGGGGTTACGGGGGGGGGGGCCCCCAGGGGAGGGAGGGGTATCCAAGGGGGGGGGTTTCTGGGGGTTTGAGGGGGGAAGGGGCGGGGGGCTCATGGAGGGGAAGGGGAGGGGGGTAAAAAAGGGGGGGGGCCTCATGGGGGGGAAAGGGGTTGGAACGGGGTTGGGAAGGGGGGGGCTCAGGGGAGGGAGGGGGAGGGGGGGGGGGGAGGGGGGCGTTTGGGAAGGGGTGGGGGGGGAAAGGGGGGGGGGTCAGGGGGAGGGGAGGGGTACGGGGGGTTGGGGGGGAGGGGAGAGGGGGTACAGGGGGGTTCTCACAGAAGATGGGGTTCCCGGGAAAAAAAAGCTTGCGGTCTTTATTTTGGGGGTTTGCCATTTAACTGTCACGGGTCCCAATGTTTACGACGGGAAATCCGTTTTTTCACGACTGTTGTGGCGTGGGTTTTTTCCAGAGCTCAAACTGGTGGTGAGGAGTTTGACATATCCCCTTTCCAGATCCCCCGGGCAAGCACCCTCTGATAAAAAACCCAAACCCACGATTACTTTTAAAGAGGGGCAAATTTGATAAAAAAACCCCTTTGGGGTTTTTTTGTAAACAAAAATTTAATTCCAAAATGGGAAACTTTTGTTGTTCAGCCAAAGAATCGTTGGAACCCCCTTTGGGTTTGGGGTTGTCAGAAAATGGGGGGGGGTTTTTTGGGGGGTTTTTTTTTTGGGGGGGGGGGGGGGGGGGTTTTTTTTCTTTCCATTTTAATTAAACCCAAAGGGACAACCAAGGGGTTTTTGGAGGTGGGAAAAGCGGGAATTTTCTTTAAGAAGAGGTTGGGGAAAATGTTTGGGGGGGACAACCTATACAATATCCCCTAAACAGCCTTTAAAAAAATGTACCAAAAGTCCAAAACTTTTTTTTTTTTTTAATAAAGGGTTAGACCCCCCCCCCCCCCCCCCCCCGATCGGGTTTTTTTATTGCCGGCCCTGTGTTCCCGCTGGGGGGGGGGGGGGTTTCCCCGGGCCCCCCCTTTTTTCCCCCCGGGGCCCCACGGGGGAAAAGGGGAAGGGGGTAATCCAAAAAAACATTGGGGTTTTTTTTTAAAAAAAGGGGAAAGGGGGGGTTGGGGAAATCTTCCGGGGGGAAAACGCTTGCCCTTTTGGGGGGGGACAACGAAATTGAAAAATTTTATTTTTGGGAAAAAAGAAATTTTTGCTTCTATTTCCCGGGTTGTTTTTTTTAAAAGGGGCTTTCCCCTTTTTGGGGGCCCCAAAAGGGGGGAGCCCCCAAACCCACATGGGGCTGAAAACCGGGGGGGGGGGGGGGGGGGGGGGGGGGGGTCCTCACAAACCCCAAAAAACCCGGTTTGGGCCCCTTGTGCTCCACGGGTGTCGGGGGTGGGGGGCCCCTATAAAACACTTTTTTTCCCTCCCGAGGCGACCTCAGTTTTGTGTCTTCTCTCTCCCTCCGCTGCGGAAATGTGGGGGGACACCAAACAAATACCTCTTCGCCCGGGTTTCCCCCCTTTTTTTGCGGGGGAACAGGGAAGGAACAACAAAGGGAAAGGGTGTCCGCAACCCCAAAAACCCCGGGGCCCCCCCCCCCCCCCCCCCTTTTGGGGGAAAACCCCCCCCCCTTTTTTTTTCCCCGGGGAAAAAGGGGGCCCCCAATCCCCCCGGGCCCCCCCCCCCCCGGGCCCCCGGGCCCCCGGGGGGCCCCCCCGGGGGGCCCCCCTTTTGGGGGGGGCCCCTTTTTTGGGCCCCCCGGGGGGGCCCCTCCCGGGGGGGGGCCCCCCCCCTGGGGGGGGGGCCCCCGGGGGGGGGGCCCCCCCCCCCGGGCCCCCCGGGCCCCCCGGGGGGGGTTTTCCCCCCCCCCCCCCCCCCCCCCAAAAAACCCCCCCCCCCCGGGCCCCGGGGGGGCCCCCCCCCCCCCGGGGGGGGCCCCCCCCGGCCCCCCCCCGGGGGGGGGCCCCCCCGGGCCCTTTGGGGGGGGGGGGACCCCCCCCCCCCCCTTTTTTGGGCCCCCGGGGGGGGCAACCCCCCCCGGGGTTTTGGGCCCCGGGCCCCCGGCCCTCGGGGGCCCCCCCCCCCCCCCCCCCCCCCCCCCCTTTTCCCCCCCCCCCCCCCCAAAAAAAGGGGGGGGGCCCCCCGGGGGCCCCCCCGGGGGGACCCCCGGGGGGGGGGTGGGCCCGGGTTTCCCCCGGGGCCCCCCCCCCCGGGGGGTCCCCCCGTTGGGGTTTTTCCCCCGTGGAAAAAAGGGGGGCCCCGGGGCCCCCGGGGGGGGGGTTTTTTTTTTTTCCCCCCTTTGGGGGGCCCCCGGGGTTTTTTCCCCCCCGTGGGAACCCCCCCCCCCCCCCCCCCCCCCCGGGGGGGCCCGGGGGGCCCCCCCCCCCCCCCTTTTTTTTTAAAAAAAAAAAAAAAAACCCCCAAAATTTTTTTTTTTTTTTTAAGGGGGAAAAAAAGGGGGGGGGGGGGGTTTGGGGGGGGGGGAAAAAGGGGGTTTGGGGGGGGGGGGGGTTTCCCCCCCCCCGGGGGGGGCCCCCCCCCCCCGAACCGGAACCTTAAACCCCTTTGGGCCCCCCGGGGCCCCCCAAAAAAATTTTTTTCCCCAAGGGGGGGGAAAAAAAGGGGGGGGGGGGGAAAAACCCCCCCCCCAAAAAAGGGCCCCCCAAAAAAATTGGGGCCCCCTTTTTTTGGGCCCTTTTTTCCCCCAACCCAAAAAGGCCCGGGGGGCCCCCGGGGGCCCCCCCCCCCAACCCCCAAAGGGTTTTAAAAGGGGAGGGGGGGGTTGGGGGGGGGAAAAAAAAAAAAATTTGGGTTTTTTTTGGGGGGGGGGGCCCCCCCCCCCCCCCCCCAAAAAAAAAAAAAAATTTTTAAAAAAAAAAAAGGGGGGGGGGTTTTTTTTTTTTTTTGGGGGCCCCCCCCCCCCCCCCAAAACCCCCCCCAAAAAAAACCCCCCCCCCAAAAAACCCCCCCCCCCCCCCCCCCTTTTTTTTTTTTGGGCCCCGGGGTTTTTTTTAAAATTTGGGGGGGGGGGGGCGGGGGGCCCCCCCCAAAAAAAAAGGGTTTGGGGGAAAAGGGGTTTTGGGGGGGGGTTTTTTTTTTTGGGTTTTTTTTTGGCCCAATTAAAAAATTAAACCCGGGGAAAATTTTGGGGGGGGCCCCCCCCCCCCCCCCCAAAAACCCCCCCGGGGGGAAAAAAAAAAAAGGGGGGGGAAAAAAGGGGGGGAACCCAAAAAAAGGGGGGGGGGGGGTTTTAAAGGGGGGGGGGGGGGGGGAACCCCCCGGGGGGGGTGGGGGGTTTTTTTCCCCCCCTTTTAAAAGGGAAAGGGGGGGGGGGGGGTAGGAAAAGGGGGGGGGTTTTTTCCCCCCCCCCCGGGGGGGGGGGGGGGGGGGGTGGGGGGGGGGGGGGGGGGGGGGGGGTTTTTTAAAAAACCCCCCCAAACCCCAAATTTTAAGGGCCCCCCCCCCAAAACCCCCGGGGGGAAAAAGGGGGGCCCCCCCCCCCCCCCCCCCCCCCCCCCCCCAAAAAAACCCCCCCCCCCCCCAAACCCCCCCAAACCCCGGGGGGGGGCCCGGGGGGGGGGATGGGGGTGGGGGGGGGTGGTAAATGATGCGACATCTCTAAATATAATGGCCAATCCTTTTCTATTGTAGTAGGGAATTCCCCCCCCCCCCCCCCCCCATCACACCATGCATCCGCAGAGGGGAAAGGAAATATGGAGAATAGGAGCACATAGATGGATAGTGTCTAAAATGGGGCTAACAATTTTTTTTTTTTTTTTTTGCAGTTGGTTCAATAAGTTTCAAGAGATAGACTTTGCCCGGGCTGGAAATAAAGCCACGTATAGTGTGGCCCTGGACGCGGGGCCCCTGGAACAGTTCCACACACTCCATGGAGCCACAGCTACGGCAGCTGGGCCTTCCCACCACATTAAAGAAAGGTGAGCGCCATTAGGATGTATTATTCAAGCTGATTACTTTTTATACCTTCCAATGGTTCGACGTATCAGATTCTTAACCCCTTCCAGTCCGGACACTCTCCCCCCCCCCCCCCCCCCCCCCTTCCAGTGCCCCCCCCCCCCCCCACCTCCACCCCCCCCCTTCCAGTGCGGACACTTCCTCCCCCCCCCCTTCCAGTGCGGACACTTCCTCCACCCCCCCTTCCAGTGCGGACACTTCCTCCACCCCCCCTTCCAGTGCGGACACTTCCTCCACTCCACCCCCCCTTCCAGTGCGGACACTTCCTCCACCCCCCCTTCCAGTGCGGACACTTCCTCCACCCCCCCCCCCTTCCAGTGCGGACACTTCCTCCACCCCCCCCCCTTCCAGTGCGGACACTTCCTCCACCCCCCCCCCTTCCAGTGCGGACACTTCCCTCCACCCCCCCCCCTTCCAGTGCGGACACTTCCTCCACCCCCCCCCCTTCCAGTGCGGACACTTCCTCCACCCCCCCCCTTCCAGTGCGGACACTTCCTCCACCCCCCCCCTTCCAGTGCGGACACTTCCTCCACCCCCCCCCTTCCAGTGCGGACACTTCCTCCGGACACTTCCTCCACCCCCCCCCCTTCCAGTGCGGACACTTCCTCCACCACCCCCCCCCCCTTCCAGTGCGGACACTTCTCCTCCACCCCCCCCCCCTTCCAGTGCGGACACTTCCTCCACTTCCCCCCCCCCCTTCCAGTGCGGACACTTCCTCCACCCCCCCCCCCCTTCCAGTGCGGACACTTTCCTCCCCCCCCCCCCCTTCCAGTGCGGGGGACACTTCCTCCACCCCCCCCCCCTTCCAGTGCGGACACTTCCTCCCCCCCCCCCTTCCAGTGCGGACACTTCCTCCCCCCCCCCCCCTCCAGTGCGGACACCCCCCCCCCCCCCTTCCAGTCCAGTGGTGGTCGGACACTTTCCCCCCCCCCCCTTCCAGTGCGGACACTTCCCCCCCCCCCCCCCCTTCCAGTGCGGACACTACTTCCCCCCCCCCCCCCTTCCAGTGCGGACACTTCCTCCCCCCCCCCCTTTCCAGTGCGGACACTTCCCCACCCCCCCCCTTTCCAGTGCGGACACTTCCTCCCCACCCCCCCCCTTTCCAGTGCGGACACTTCCCCCACCCCCCCCCCTTTCCAGTGCGGACACCCCCTCCCCCCCCCCCTTTCCAGTGCGGACACTTCCCCCCCCCCCCCCCACTTCCCCCCCCCCCCCATTTCCAGTGCGGGACTTCCCCCCCCCCCCCCCCCCTTTCCAGTGCGCGGACACTTTCCCCCCCCCCCCCCCCCCTTTCCCAGTAGTTTAGACGTCCACTTTCCCCCCCGCCCCTGCAGTGCCACCGTCTGGCCGTTTACATACATGGGCCGGACGGGAAGGGGATAAACAGTATACACTTCCTGCTCTGTTCAGATGGTGGAAATGAAAGGAAGGTTGTAGCATACACTGGGCTGTGGACCTCCTTGTGGCAGTGCTGATTGGCCCAGCGCTGTCCCATGCTCCTCCATACCCATAAGTACGGAGCCCCCCAGTTCTGAACAGAGTGATGGGCTGTTTAGACTCTTGTGACACCAGAAGTTGAATCTTTCTTTCTCGCTGGCTTTGATAAATGTTTTGGTGTTTTTTCCCGTTATTTATTGTCCATTGATCGGCTTGGTTGTTGTTCTTCCACAGGAGTGGTGACCCTCTTGTCTGATCATGAGGTGTGTAAAGAAGGAGACACTCTGACCCCCGAGCAGGCCCGCATACTGGTGAGTGAATGTGACAGTGGGTGTCTATTGGGCAAGGGAAAGGGGCCTTAGAGAAAGATCTTCTCTGGTATCTGCCGCCAAGCCATCCGTAGCATATCCTGCAAGTTGTGAGGTGGGGCCTCCATGGATCGGACTTTTCCAGCACATCCCACACATGTTCAATTGGATTGGGATCTGCAGAATTTGGAGACCAAGTCAACACCTCAAACTTGTTGTGTTCCTCAAACCATTCTCCACTTTTCAGTGTGGCAGAACACATTATCCTGCTGAAAGAGGCCATCATGGAATACAAACAACCTACCATCACTGAGACTGTAGAAATGAAGCTTGTGATGCTCTGTGTGTTCTGACACCTTTCTATCAGAACCGGCATTCACTTTTTCAGCAATTTGAGCTCCAGAAGCTGTTGGATCCGACCACACGGGCCAGCCTTCCCTCTCCTCTCGTCCGTCATCGCCCCTCGTCCGTCCTCGCGCCTTCCCTCGTCCGTCCTCGCGCCTTCCCTCGTCCGTCCTCGCGCCTTCCCTCGTCCGTCCTCGCGCCTTCCCTCGTCCGTCCTCGCGCCTTCCCTCGTCCCCTCGTCCTTCCCTTGTCCCCTCGCCCCCCCTCGTCCTCGCAGCCTTCCCTCGTCCCCCTCGCGCCCCCTCGTCCTTCCCTCGCACCTTCCCTCGTCCCCTCGCCCCTTCCCTCGCCCCGTTCCCTCGTCCCTCGCCCCTTCCCTCGCCCCCTCGTCCGTCCCTCGCGCCTTCCCTCGCCCCTTCCCTCGCCCCCTCGTCCCTTCCCTCGCCCTTCCCTCGCCCCCTCGTCCCGTCCTCGCCCCCTCGCCCCTTCCCTCGCCCCCTTCGTCCATCACACCAGATCACATGACAATTGTAAACAATGGATTTCTTCTTTTTGTGTTGTTGCTAGTGGTGATTGGTCACAGTGATCAATTGGTACAGACAGAGCCAGTCACAGCCCCTCTGTACCATGTGATTACATGTGCCCAATCGCAGCTATTAACCAATAGATAATGAATCGGTGAAAGTGCCAAATTAGACCAAATGCAGACAATCTAATGTCCCCTCCCTCTCAATTTTCAGAAATTATTCGGTTACCAGATGGCGGAGTTTAAAGTGACCCTAAAATCCATGTGGTCCGCAGAGACTGGAGAGTTCCAGAAGCTTTCAGCCAATGACGATGTAGAGGAGATGGAGGATGATGCAGAGGAGATGGAGGATGATGCGGAGCAGCAGGAGGAGAAGGAGAAGAAATTAGGGTCACGTGGCGATCTGAATGCTGCAGGCCGGGTGATTGGAGTATTCCTGCATCAGCACAGATTACCTCCTTGTGTGGACAGAGATGGCTACCTCTGTGCTGACAGTCCTGATTATCAGGACATGGTCCCTGGAGACTCTGTTCATGTTCTGAGAGGAACAATCCTATTACTGTGTTTTAACAGAGACATGCAGAGCGACGTGTACATAAAGCCGGGGAGTTCTCTGCTGCAGGCTGATTGGAGCGCAGCCTGGAAATCACAATAAAGGGAACCTCTCAGGATATCGCATACTGTTGCAGACTTGGTTTGTTTTTTAAAGGTGATGTTTAACCTGCTTACATTTTGTCTTTCCTGGTGTCACCCATTTTTTATATATATATATCTTTTTGAGGCATAGCGACGTCATCCCTGGGCCTCTGTGCTATGCAGGCAGATCATGGCTAGTAGGAGGGGCTGCACATAACTTCCTGAAACCATCACAGCACCCGGCCTCATTACTCCTCTCAAGAGCCCTCAGTCCTGATGTACCTAGTGGGCGGGCTCTTGGGAGGAGTTTATGCAAACATCAACAGGCCTTTATCGGTGGTGTCAGTCTGGCAGAGTGAATGTTCCTAGGCAGGCTGTGATTGGATGTACACCTTCCTATGTAATTCCTATGTGCTGGGCCTCCATGATTGAAAGAACTGAAATCCAATGAATGAAAGGGATAATCAGGCTAGGGAGGAAAGTGCTAGATGATTCTGGGTGTTAGCCAAGAACTGAGGCGGAGCTTTATCTGATTTGCTGCGGCTTCTAATGCACATTGTGAGAAGCTCCTTGTATAGTGAAATCAGAGGAAGACGTTTCAGTCCAGGAGTGGAGACGATACACCTGTGCCGGGCTGGAGCGGGAGGAGCCGGCGCGCCTGTGCCGGGCTGGAGCGGAGGAGCCGGCGCGCCTGTGCCGGGCTGGAGCGGGGGCTGGAGGAGCCGGCGCGCCTGTGCCGGGCTGGAGCGGGAGGAGCCGGCGCGCCTGTGCCGGGCTGGAGGGGAGGGGGAGGGGGAGGAGCCGGCGCGCCTGTGCCGGGCTGGAGGGTGGGAGGAGCCGGCGCGCCTGTGCCGGGCTGGAGGGGGAGGAGCCGGCGCGCCTGTGCCGGGCTGGAGGGGGAGGAGCCGGCGCGCCTGTGCCGGGCTGGAGGGGGAGGAGCCGGCGCGCCTGTGCCGGGCTGGAGGGGGAGGAGCCGGCGCGCCTGTGCCGGGCTGGGAGGGGGAGGAGCCGGCGCGCCTGTGCCGGGCTGGAGGGGGAGGAGCCGGCGCGCCTGTGCCGGGCTGGAGTTTAGATTTAACTTATGCTCCAGAGCTGTTTCTCTTTCACTTTGCTTACATACTTGGCATATCCCTGACCCCCGAACAACTGTGACAGCCGTCTTGTCACTTTATTGGCTGTGTGTGTATTTAGGATTTAAGAAAAAATGGGGAGTAGAGCCCGGCGCCTTCAAAAACAGCGCTGCAGAAGCAGTTTCTATACTTCTTGACAAGGTTCCCTTTTTACATTTCTGCATGCTGTGACAGAGCAAAGGGTAGACTCCTGTAAATCCTGGTACCTGTGCAGTTCTTGGTTGTGTTCACAATATCTGACACAAATCAGCCCCCCTACCTTGTGATTGCTACAGTCTGATCCCTGGGGGGAGGAGACTGAGGAAATGCTTTGTCCTGCCTGCAGCAGAGTGCGGACTTCCTGCTCTGTGCAGAGTCACCAACTCAAGTTTAAGGACACCTTTTTAATGGGGGGGGGGGGGAAGGAGCATTTTTCTACCAATGATACCATCCCTTGTATATTGTGTCATGTCGGGATTTCTTCCTGTACTCTGGGAAAGTTATGACAGGTCCACTTTTAATGAACATCTTTCTGTGTATAATTCTGTATGAGATTTAATCTGGGAATTTTATATGGAGACACTTTCAAAGATAGACAGCAGCCCGTTCTGTGATTTCTGCAATGACCTCACCGATACTTTGCATTCTGATTTTATTATTCAAATATTTTCATCATTTACAATTCCAAAGAACCTGCAGAAATTAGAGGGGCTGAGCAGCAAACAGCACAGCTCCAGGCAACCAACCAACAAGCAGCGGCGGGTGTTCGGCGCCCTCCGATCCGCCATCTTTCCATAGAATAGTCAAACCTCAGGTTGCTTCTCTCCCCCCCCCCCCCTTTTTTTTTTTTTTAAAACTGCAATAAGCTTTATTAACACCAGGCAAGCAAACAAGGTGACATTCTCCTCCACTGGAGTGACACATTTCATCACCCTGCCACTAAGTCTGCATTATGAGCAGGGTGGACTGACCATTTGGAAGCTCAGCCCCCCGCCCAGGGTCAGTAGGGGCCCCCATGAGATGCCCCTGGTACCTTTTATCATAGGCTTTTTTGAGTTTAGGCAAGGACATGGGCCCCATGAGTTGTCAGTCCGCCCCTGATTGTGAGTGAAATGCATTGCTATACCGCCATCACCTTGCTTAGTGTTAATAAAGCTTTCAGCAGTTTTAAAAAAAAAAAAAAAAGTATTCAGTCTGAACTTTACAGAACTTCTGCCAACTCTAAAGAGCCACAATTGGTCCAGCTATGCATCTTCTAAAAAAAAAAGTATTTTAAAAACTGTTGTGTTGTTCCTGTTCTACGATCACTCAGCATGTAGAGGGCTGTTATCTAACATATTTCAGGCACTAGGAGCAGGACAACTGAACCGAGTTGCTGTTCATTTTATTGCACAGTTAGAATAGAAGTGACGGGTGCTGAGCAGTGTTGTCACCCATGGCTGGGCTGAGGGGGATGTACATAAAGTGGCAACCTAGGGGGCTTCAGCAGGATGGGGGGGCTGCAAAGATCAGGACCTGCAACCTTTGCAATACAACCCCCCTTTTCAGTGTGAATCATGAGATATAAAACAGCAGACACTTCAGGTATTATTGTTTTGCCTGGAGTTTCTGCCGCCATCAGAGGCACAGCCGGGATTAAGGAAACAATCACCGTGACGAATCGGCAGTCAGAGATCTCCTCCTAGCGGAAGTAGTTGGGGCAGTCGTGAGCGACCAGGTTCCAGGCGTTGTTGAATGCAGCGACCACTGGGGGCAGGAGAGGACCCCCCTCGGCTCCGGCCAAGTTGCTCAATAGCTGCTCTGTGCTGGACATCCCCAGGATCACTGCGTCACCCCGATTTCCCTGAGGGGATAAAGGATTCCGCATCAGTCGTGTCACAATACAGAGCAAATTCAAAGCTTTTGGTGTTAAAGAACCTCTGATGGCGCTACCTGTGTGAGACACCTCAGATGCAAGCTGCCATGTTCTTATATGGGTTGGATGTGATGGTAGTACCCCCCAGTGGGCTCACTCTAATGACACCTTTAGTAGCCATTCCTAACCAGGGTTCCTCCAGAGAGGGCTAGGGGTTCCTTAAGTTGTGGCTTACTGACCCCCAATCGTGGTGCCCCCATCATCCTACTTCCAATACCACTTGGCAGCGCCAGTGGTATTCATCTGAGGGTGACATTCTCCCCAATAACCACCACCAATATTAGGGGCATCTTCCTAATGACCACTATAAGGGGCATCTTCCCAATGACCACTACCAATCTAAAGAGGTATTTTCCCAATAACCACCGCCAACAATACAAGGAGCATCTTCCCAATAACCATCACCAATATAAAGAGCATCTTCCCAATGACCAATATAAGGGGCATCTTCCCAATGGCCACCACCAAATATAAGGAGCATCTTCCCAATGACCAATATAAGGGGCATCTTCCCAATGACCACCACCAAATATAAGGAGCATCTTCCCAATGACCAATATAAGGAGCATCTTTCCTATAACCACCACCATTATAAGGAGCATCTTCCCAATGTCCACCAATATAAAGGGCATCTTCCCAATAACCACCACCAATATAAGGAGCATCTTCCCAATGATCACCACCAATCTAAGGAGTATCTTCCCAATAGCCACCACCAATTTAAGGGACATCTTCCCAATGACCACCACAAATATAAAGGGCATCTTCCCAATGACCAATATAAGGGGCATCTTCCCCATAACCTCCACCAACAATACAAGGAGCATCTTCCCAATAACCACCACCAATCTAAGGAGCATCTTCCCAATAACCACCATCAATTTAAGGGGCATTTTCCTAATGAGCAATATAAGAGGCATCTTCCCAATGACCACCACTAATATAAGGGGTATCTTCCCAATGACCACCACTAATATAAGGGGTATCTTCCCAATGACCACCACCAATCTATGAGGCATTTTCCCAATACCCACCACCAATATAAGAGGCATCTTCCCAATAACCACCACTAATTGAAGGGGCATCTTCCCAATGACTACCACCAATGGACTAATCCTAGCAAGGGTTGAGTGAAATCTGAAAATTATTGCAAGGGCTCCTTTGGGGTAAAAAAAAAAAAAAAAAAGTTGAGAAAGGCTGCTCTATAGTGTCCACCTTCAGTCCTCCCCCAGCAGCTCTATAAAAGGTTATGTGAGGAGCTGTGCCAACACAGACAGTAATTGGACACTCTAGTAGTGGAGAGGACCAAGGACGTGCAATGGAGGGATGCTCAAAGGCACCCTGCAAGTGCATCATGCCTGCAAACGTTGATGACAGGGTCTCTTTAATGAACCAACCTGCAGCTTGGAGTGGTGGTACATCCAACGAAGTGCGGCCGCGGCCAGACTGGGCCTCACATCTGCGCTGTACATCTCCTCCAGAGCTCGGCGCACCAAGTCGATGGCTTCGAAGTGATGCTTCTTCCAATACCTGCACCACCAGACACAGGATTAATAATCCCTCCGCTCGTCCCACCCCTGTACTTTATACCCCCAACATAACATGGGGGGGGGCAAACAGCACATCATATACCATCATAGTTCGCTGTATACACCACATATTGGAGGTAAAGATGTTTAATCTGCCCTCCCTGGTCCCCCCCCCCCATCAACATGCCAATTACATTTTTAAATAAAGCTTGTTTTTATTGCATATCTTACTTTGGATGCAATTATTTAATGGGTTCTCTCTGCTTCACTATGCAATGCAGGCAGATCATGGCTGCCCTAAGTAACTACATCTAAATTAATGAAAGGGGCGGGCCAGGGACAGTTTGGCAGGAGAGAGGGATGAGAGTCACCTATTCCGGTAGGTTTCTGCCCAGCTGTTCCCGAAAAATCTGGAAGCTTCCTGCTCCTTGCCCTCATCTTCATACTGGTACTTCCCGGTTAGAAGGCCCCCTGGTGACAGAAGAGAAGCACAAATGAGTACATTCCATAATCTGCCTCAGTAATATCACCCGGTGCTAGGAACTCTATCTACATACTAGCAAGAGCAACACGTTCTACCACAGTGAATGGAGACAGGCCGATACAGACTACATGGACAAAAGTTTGCGAAACCCCTTCCTATGGATGGAGTTCAGGTGTCTCCAGTGAAGGGTCCCGGTAATACTCCATCATACAAAGACATTGTAGACAACTGTGGTCCTCCAGCCTTGATGAAGACCCTATTCTGTTCCACCATGACTGTCCCGTGTACAAGGCCAGCTCCATAAAGACATTGTAGACAACTGTGGTCCTCCAGCCTTGATGAAGACCCTATTATGTTCCACCATGACTGTCCCATGTCAAGGCCAGCTCCATAAAAACATTGTAGACAACTGTGGTCCTCCAGCCTTGATGAAACCCTATTCTGTTCCACCATGACTGTCCCATGTCAAGGCCAGCTCCATAAAAACATTGTAGACAACTGTGGTCCTCCAACCTTGTGGTAACAGTTTGGTGAAGACCCTTTTCTGTTCCACCATGACTGTCCCGTGTACAAGGCCAGCTCCATAAAGACATTGTAGACAACTGTGGTCCTCCAGCGTTGTGGCAACAGTTTGGTGAAGACCCTTTTCTGTTCCACCATGACTGTCCCCTGTGTACAAGGCCAGCTCCATAAAGACATGGTTTGGCCGGTTTGGTGTGGAGGAACCCGAGCATCAAGTACAGAACCCTGACTTCAACTCTACTTTTGGAACACCTTTGGTATAAGGTCCTTTTATCCAGCATCCATCACCAGTACCTGCCCTTAACCCTACCTAACGTCTTTCAGATGAGGTCTTCTTAGCCCAAAGGTGTTCAGTAGGTGTGAGGTCATGGAGGGACTCGAGTGTCCTATACAGAGCCCAGACTTCAACTCTACTTTTGGAAGACCTTGGTATAGGGTCCTTTTATCCAGCATCCATCACCAGTACCTGCCCTTAACCCTACCTAACGTCTTTCAGATGAGGTCTTCTTAGCCCAAAGGTGTTCAGTAGGTGTGAGGTCATGGAGGGACTCGAGTGTCCTATACAGAGCCCAGACTTCAACTCTACTTTTGGAAGACCTTGGTATAAGGTCCTTTTATCCAGCATCCATCACCAGTACCTGCCCTTAACTCTACCTAAACGTCTTTCAGATGAGGTCTTCTCAGCCCAAAGGTGTTCAGTAGGTGTGAGGTCATGGAGGAACTCCAGTGTCCTGTACAGAACCCTGACCTCAGGCCTACCGAACACCTCTGGGATGAATGGGATCACCGATGGCGAGCCAGGTCTTCTCATTCAATATCAGTACCTGACCTCGTAAATGGGCACAAATTCCCACAGAACACCCTCCAAATCCAGTAGAAAGCTTCTCAAGAATAGTGCATGATGTTATATGGCCACAAAGGGGACAACTCCATACTGTTGGTTAAAGTGAGGACATCAACCATTTTACTGCCCACGGGGGTTGGAATAGGATGTCCAGTGAGCTCATATAGGCGTGATGGTCAGGGGCTTGTCAACTTTCACATATAAAGTGTAGGCCAATAGGATTCCCAAAAGGAGAATACATTTAGGGCCTTCAACCAGAGCAGGGCGAAGGCAGGTAATAGTTTAACTTGACTGTAGACCCAAAATGTTCTGCAGCTCCTCAGGACTGAGCTTCCTCCCATAATATTTGCATTGTTGAGGATCACTTACCACAACAGACCCATCTCACCTGCCAGCGGGTTGTATGCGTAGAATCTGATCCCGAGTTGGCGCAAGCATGGGAGCAGCTCCGTCTCTACTTGGCGTGTGGTGGCGTTGTACATACCCTGGGGAGGGAGGAATATTGTGTTCACATGACTCCAATGTCCACACAAACGTCAGTTAAGGGATGAGAGACCCAAGACAGCAGAAATCAACCATGCATGGCATAAGAAGCTCCCCCATAGGTCCTCTGAATGGACAATGGACCCAAGATAGTAGAAGTCAACCATGGATGGTGTAAAGAGCCCCCAGGGGTCCTGTGATGTCTGCTGTCTTGGGTCCATTGTCCATTCACAGGACCCCTGGGGGCTCTTTACACCATCCATGGTTGACTTCTACTATCTTGGGTCCATTGTCCATTCAATCATGCATGGCATAAGAAGCTCCCCCAGAGGTCCTCTGAATGGACAATGGACCCAAGATAGTAGAAGTCAACCATGGATGGTGTAAAGAGCCCCCAGGGGTCCTCTGAATGGATAATGGACCCAGGATAGTAGAGGTCAACCATGGATGGTGTAAAGAGCCCCCAGGGGTCCTCTGAATGGATAATGGACCCAGGATAGTAGAGGTCAACCATGGATGGTGTAAAGAGCCCCCAGGGGTCCAGACCACAGTGACCAGGTACATGGACCTCATCTTCTGGATTTTATCTGTTTTCATTGTAATCTTTTATTAGCAAAAAATAAAAAATCCCTGGTAGCCCCATTATGTAGCCGCAGAGGCCCAGTGATGGGTGGACAGAAGACAGACGTGTGGGGTACCTGGTACACGGTGGGCAGCACCCAGTTATTCTTCTTACAAACGCAGTAGACCTCCATCACCTCCCAGGAGGCGTAATTGGACAGACCGAGCTCTCGGAACTTCCCCTGGAAGATGAAATACATGCTTACATGCTGAACATGAACATACATGATGGCCTTACCTACAGACCTTTCCCATAGGGTGCTGGAGAGAGAACCGTGTCATGTAGATCCTGGTGCCTGTGCACTTCCTGACTGTGTTCACAAAAGCCTGACACAGATCAGCCCCCACTGCATTCTCTCGCCTTGTAACTTGCTACAACGTTACAATGTACAGTCTGATCACTGGGGGAGGGGACTGAGGAAATGCCTCCTCCTCCTTCTACAAAGTTACAATGTACAGTCTGATCACTGGGGGAGGGGGGACTGAGGAAATGCCTCCTCCTCCCTCTACAAAGTTACAATGTACAGTCTGATCACTGAGGGAGGGGGGACTGAGGAAATGCCTCCTCCTCCTTCTACAAAGTTACAATGTACAGTCTGATCACTGGGGGAGGGGCAACTGTAGAAGGAAGCGGAAGCATTTCCTCAGTCTCCCCTCCCCCAGTGATCAGACTGTACATTGTAACTTTGTAGAAGGAGGAGGAAGCATTTTCTCAAAGTTACAATGTACAGTCTGATCACTGGGGGAGGGGAGACTGAGGAAATGAGTCCTCCTCCTTCTACAAAATTACAATGTGCAGTCTGATCACTGGGGGAGGGGACTGAGGAAATGACTCCTCCGTCTACAAAGTTACAATGTACAGTCTGATCACTGGGGGAGGGGAGACTGAGGAAATGCTTCCTCCTGCCTGCAGCAGACTGATGACATCCCAGCCTAGACACAGTCACTGTAATAACAGGTGGAGTGTTTCTGTACAATGCCCATTGCTGTATACAAGGGACACGTCAGGAATTTATTCATGGAGACATGTAAAGCTACAGACAGGTCCTCTACCATGAAGGCGTACATGTCTGTGACACGCTATTTATGACTGACGTTCCCCTGACAACGGCCGTCCTGGACTGGCGGCTCCGGAGTACAAAGTTCATGGAGGGAAAAGTTCAAGCCAGAGAAACGCCAACATCTCCGGGAGGCGGGGCCTGAGGTCTGCGGAGTGACAGATAAACCCCCCAAACCCCCCCTGAGAATACAATGGTTCCAATCATGTCCTCACCTAGGCCGGGGGAAGTGCCAGGTGTGCCCAATTGTGGGCGGGGCCAGGAGCTTTCTGGGAGGAAATCACCCTGTATGAAGGAGGATCTCGGGGAGCGAGGAACAGTTACCCATAATGCCTCACCTCCTGGTACAGTTGCTGGCAGGCCGCCAGGGTCTCCTCCACCGGGGTCTGGTGGTCCGGGGCGTGCAGATAGAAGAGGTGAACGCAGGGGGTCCGCAGTCGCTGGAGGGAGGTCTCCAATTGCTGGCGCACGCTGTCCGCGCTCAGCGACTTCCCCTCCCAGGGATTGGCCTTTGTAGCCGACTTCACTGCCAGAGAGAAGGAAGAGAGGTCACGCTTCCTGCGGTCATGTCATACCGCCACACGATTCCCGCCACACGCTTCCTGCGGTCATGTTCATACCGCCACACACTTCCCGCCACACGCTTCCTGCAGTCATGTTCATACCGCCACACGCTTCCCGCCACACGCTTCCTGCGGTCATGTTCATACCGCCACACGCTTCCTGCGGTCATGTTCATACCGCCACACGCTTCCTGCGGTCATGTTTACCGCCACATGCTTACCGCCACACGCTTCCTGCAGTCATGTTCATACCGCCACACGCTTCCCGCCACACGCTTCCTGCGGTCATGTTCATACCGCCACACGCTTCCTGCAGTCATGTTCATACCGCCACACGCCTCCCGCCAGTCCCGCCACATGCTTCCCGCCCCACGCTTCCTGCAGTCATGTTCATACCGCCACACGCCTCCCACCCGTCCCGACACATGCTTTCCGCCCCAAGCTTCCTGCGGTCATGTGCATACCGCCACACGCTTCCTGCAGTCATGTTCATACCGCCACACGCTTCCCGCCACACGCTTCCTGCAGTCATGTTCATACCGCCACATGCTTCCCGCCACACGCTTCCTGCAGTCATGTTCATACCGCCACACGCTTCCTGCGTCATGTTCATACCGCACAAAACACACGCTTCCTGCGGTCATGTTCATACCGCCCACGCTTCCTGCGGTCATGTTCATACCGCCACACGCTTCCTGCAGTCATGTTCATACCGCCACATGCTTCCCGCCCCACTCTTCCTGCAGTCATGTTCATACCGCCACACGCCTCCCACCCGTCCCGACACACGCTTCCCGCCCGTACCGCCACACGCTTCCCGCCCAAACCGCCACACGCTTCCCGCCCAAACCGCCACACGCCTCCCCGCCCCCGTCACATGCTTCCCGCCACACGCTTCCTGCAGTCATGTTCATACCGCCACACGCCCCCGCCTGTCCCGTCACATGCTTCCCGCCACACACTTCCTGCAGTCATGTTCATACCACCACACGCTTCCTGCAGTCATGTTCGTACCGACACACGCTTCCCACCCCGTACCACAACACGTGCTTCCTGTTCCGTCCTGCCACATGCTTCCCGTCCGTACCACAACACACGCTTCCCATTCCGCCACATGCTTCCTGCAGTCATGTTCATATTGCCACACGCTTCCCGCCCGTACCGACACACGCTTTCTGCCCGTACCACAACACACGCTTCACGCCCGTACCACAACACACGCTTCCCATTCCGCCACACGCTTCCTGCAGTCATGTTCATACCGCCACACGCCTCCCGCATGTCCCGTCACATGCTTCCCGCCACACGCTTCCTGCGGTCATGTTCATACCGCCACACGCTTCCTGCAGTCATGTTCATACCGCCACACGCCTCCCGCCTGTCCCGTCACATGCTTCCCACCACATGCTTCCTGCAGTCATGTTCATACCGCCACACGCCTCCCGCCTGTCCCGTCACATGCTTCCCACCACATGCTTCCTGCGGTCATGTTCATACCGCCACACGCTTCCCGCCCAAACCGCGACACGCTTCCCATTCCACCAAACACTTCCCGCCCGTACCGCCACACGCCTCCCACCCGTACCGCCACACGCTTCCCGCCCGTACCGCCACACGCTTCCCGCCCGTACCGCCACACGCTTCCCATTCCACCACATGCTTCCCGCCCGTACCTCCACACGCTTCCCACCACATGCTTCCTGCAGTCATGTTCATATCGCCACACACTTCCCGCCCCGTACCACAACACATGCTACCTGTCCCGTACCATCACACGCTTCCCGCCCGTCCTGCCACACGCTTCCCATTCCACCACACGCTTCCGGCAGTCATGTTCATATTGCCACACGCTTCCCATACCCCATCTCCATACACGCTTCCTGTCCCCTACTGCCACACGCTTCCTGCACAGATCCTATGACCTCTTATTCTGGATGCACAGATCCTGTGACCTCTTATTCTGGATGCACAGACTGCACTGAAAAGCCATCTTATTGGTTGCCATGGGCAACAGCCACACATCAGCTCACATAGTTCCGCCCCTTTACAGCTACACACAACTCAGCAATCCCGCCCCCCCTCTTATTGGCCAGGCTGAACCCCGCCCCCTTACCTTCGGCACTCAGGCCCAGCCCCCCCAGCACTCTCTCGGTCTCCCCGTCCGCGTACATGTGTGCGGTGTCCAGCTCGTCGTGCCCGCGCCTCAGGAACTCCCGCACCGCCTCCCCGCTCTGCTCCGCGTTCATTCGCCGCCCGAACTCCATAGTGCCCAGCACGGTGCGGGGGAGCCTCGGAGGGGGCGGGGCGGTGGGCGGAGAGCGAGACATGACGGTCCGGTAGGGTCTGCTGCGGGAGAAGAGCTGACAGCAACCTCGGGGCCGCCCGGGACAGTGACAGCATGGCGGAAGCGCGCATGCGCAGGCCCGTTATATGTTAATTATAACCCCGCCCCCTGTCCCTGAGCCCGCCCCCACCACCTGTCACTGAGCCCTACACTGGGCGGGAGAGGGGAGTGGAAAGAGGAGGTTCTCGTAGGGGGGGTGTGGATATAGACAAATATCCCCTCCCACCTGTCTGAGTCCCGCCCCCTGAGCCTGTGAACTGAAAAATCTGCGTTTTTTTCCTAGAAAATGACTTAAAACCCCAATTATTAGATATATGTAAGCAGAGGCCCCGCCCAGGAGAATACAATGGCGGCTGTCATAATATTTATGTCACAATATTTTATGTCACAATATTCAGCAATTTTTCAAACACAAAAAAAAAAGTACAATTTAAGGAGTTTATTGCACAAAAATAAAATATAACAATTGGTAAAATATAAAAGATGATGTCATTGTCACGCTGAATGCCCCCGCCCCCGCGACAACCTGCCTGCATTTTACTGTCCATAGGCGACAAAAGCCTTTCACACAGGAGATCCGGCGCGAGAATCACCGCCATCGACCCGACGTTCGCGGCGATACCTCACATATGGTGCAAACGCTGCTTACATACCAGTGCGGGACCAACATGCGCATTCATGCGAGAATGGGGGAGGGGAACACTTTAAAAATTTTTTAAATTAGCGTATTTATTTTACACTGTCCAGTGACATGGGGGGGAGGAGTCGTCAGGTACCCAGAGATGTCACATGGGGGGGAGGAGTCCCGGGTACCCAGAGATGTCACATGGGGGGGAGGAGTCCTCATGGGGGGGTACCCAGAGATGTCACATGGGGGGGAGGAGTCCTCGGGTACCCAGAGATGTCACATGGGGGGGGGGGAGGAGTCCTGGGGGGGTAGTCCTCGGGTACCCAGAGATGTCACATGGGGGGGGGGGGGGAGTCCTGGTACCCAGAGGTAGTCCTCGGGAGATGTCACATGGGGGGGGGGGGAGTCCTCGGGTACCCAGAGATGTCACATGGGAGGGGGAGGAGTCCTCGGGTACCCAGAGATGTCACATGGGGGGGAGGAGTCCTCGGGTACCCATGGGGGGGGGAGGAGTCCTCGGGTACCCAGAGATGTCACATGGGGGGGGGAGGAGTCAGAGATGAACGGGTCCTCCAGAGATGTCACATGGGGGGGGGGAGGAGAGTCCTCGGGTACCCAGAGATGTCACATGGGGGGGGGGAGGAGTCATCGGGTACCCAGAGATGTCACATACCCAGAGATGGGGGGGGAGTCCGGGTACCCAGAGATGTCACCTCGGGTACCCAGAGATGTCACATGGGGGGAGGAGGAGTCCTCGGGTACCCAGAGATGTCACATGGGGGGGGAGGAGTCCTCGGGTACCCAGAGATGTCACATGGGGGGGGGAGGAGTCCTCAGGGTACCCAGAGATGTCACATGGGGGGGAGGAGTCCTCGGGTACCCATGGGGGGGGAGGAGTCCTCGGGTACCCAGAGATGTCACATGGGGGGGAGGAGTCCTCAGGTACCCAGAGATGTCACATGGGGGGAGGAGTCCTCGGGTACCCAGAGATGTCACATGGGGGGGGGGGGAGGAGTCCTCAGGTACCCAGAGATGTCACATGGGGGGGGGGGGGAGGAGTCCTCGGGTACCCAGAGATGTCACATGGGGGGGAGGGGGGAGGAGGAGTCCTCGGGTACCCAGAGATGTCACATGGGGGGAGGGGAGGTGGGGGGGAGGAGTCCTCACCCAGAGATGTCACATGGGGGGGGGAGGAGTCTCTGGGTACCCAGAGATGGTCACACATGGGGGGAGGAGTCCTCAGGTACCCAGAGATGTCACATGGGGGGGGGAGGAGTCCTCTCAGGTACCCAGAGATGTCACATGGGGGGGGAGGAGTCCTCGGGTACCCAGAGATGTCACATGGGGGGGGAGGAGTCCTGAGGTACCCAGAGATGTCACATGGGGGGAGGAGTCCTCAGGTACCCAGAGATGTCACATGGGGGGGGGGAGGTACCCAGAGATCCATGGGGGGGGGAGGAGTCCTCGGGGCACCCAGAGATGTCACATGGGGGGAGGGGGGGAGGTCACATGGGGGAGGAGGAGTCCTCAGGTACCCAGAGATGTCACATGGGGGGAGGAGGTCCTCGGGTACCCAGAGATGTCACATGGGGGGAGGAGTCCTCGGGTACCCAGAGATGTCACATGGGGGGGAGGAGTCCTCGGGTACCCAGAGATGTCACATGGGGGGGAGGAGTCCTGAGGTACCCAGAGATGTCACATGGGGGGGGAGGAGTCGTCGGGTACCCAGAGATGTCACATGGGGGGAGGAGGAGTCCTGAGGTACCCAGAGATGTCACATGGGGGGGAGGAGTCCTCGGGTACCCAGAGATGGGGGGGGAGGAGTCCTCGGGTACCCAGAGATGTCACATGGGGGGGGGAGGAGTCCTCAGGTACCCAGAGATGTCACATGGGGGGAGGGAGGAGTCCTCACATGGGGGGGGGTAGAGATGTCACATGGGGGGAGGGAGGAGTCCTCGGGTACCCAGAGATGTCACATGGGGGGGGAGGAGTCCTCGAGGAGGTACCCAGAGATGTCACATGGGGGGGAGGAGTCCTCGGGTACCCAGAGATGTCACATGGGGGGGGGGGGGGGGGGGAGTCCTGAGGTACCCAGAGATGTCACATGGGGGGGAGGAGGAGTCCTGAGGTACCCAGAGATGTCACATGGGGGGGGAGGAGTCCTCAGGTACCCAGAGATGTCACATGGGGGGAGGAGGAGTCCTGAGGTACCCAGAGATGTCACATGGTGGGGGGAGGAGTCCTCGGGTACCAAGAGATGTCACATGGGGGAGGAGGAGTCGTCAGGTACCCAGAGATGTCACATGGGGGGAGGAGTCCTGGGTACCCAGAGATGTCACATGGGGGGGGGGGAGTCCTCGGGTACCCAGAGATGTCACATGGGGGGGGGGGAGTCCTCAGGTACCCAGAGATGTCACATGGGGGGGAGGAGTCCTCAGGTACCCAGAGATGTCACATGGGGGGGGGGGTCCGAGGAGTACCCAGGTACCCAGAGATGTCACATGGTGGGGGGAGGAGTCCTCGGGTACCAAGAGATGTCACATGGGGGGAGGAGGAGTCGTCAGGTACCCAGAGATGTCACATGGGGGGGGAGGAGTCCTGAGGTACCCAGAGATGTCACATGGGGGGGGGGGGGGGGGGGGGGGGGGGGGGGGGGGAGTCCTCGGGTACCCAGAGATGTCACATGGGGGGGGGGGAGCCCTCAGGTACCCAGAGATGTCACATGGGGGGAGGAGTCCTCAGGTACCCAGAGATGTCACATGGGGGGGGGGGGGAGTTTTCAGGGTACCCGAGATGTCACATGGGGGGGAGGAGTCCTCGGGTACCCAGAGATGTCACATGGGGGGGGGGGAGCCCTCAGGTACCCAGAGATGTCACATGGGGGGAGGAGTTTTCAGGTACCCAGAGATGTCACATGGGGGGGGGGGGGGGGGAGTACCCAGAGATGTCACATGGGTGGGGGGGGGGAGTTTTCAGGTACCCAGAGATGTCACATGGGGGGGGGGGGGGGGGGGAGTTCTCAGGTACCCAGAGATGTCACATGGGGGGGAGGAGTCCTCAGGTACCCAGAGTGGGGGGAGGTGTCAAGAAGAACTGAAAATGGCGTTTCTCTAATAAATATGAATAAATAAATAATAAATTGTGGTGTCCTGTGATTTGTCCAATCCACGTGTGTGGTGGAGGTCAGATGTCGGCGGTCCGTCCAATCCACGTGTGTGGTGGGAGGTCAGATGTCGGCGGTCCGTCCAATCCACGTGTGTGGTGGAGGTCAGATGTCGGCGGTCCGTCCAATCCACGTGTGTGGTGGAGGTCAGATGTCGGCGGTCCGTCCAATCCACGTGTGTGGTGGAGGTCAGATGTCGGCGGTCCGTCCAATCCACGTGGTCAGACGTCGGCGATCCATCCAATCCACGTGGTCAGACGTCGGCGATCCGCCCAATCCACGTGGTCAGACGTCGGTGGCCATCAGTCCCGCGGTGATTTGGTCGCGGTGCCACAGGATCTCCGCCAGGCCGTTCAGCACCGGAGCCGCGTCCGACAATTCCACCCGACCGTCCAGACTGATCCCGTCGCTGAGCCGCGGCCCGTTCACACTCCTCACCCGCATCACCGGCAGCTGCCACGTCTGCTGGAAGTCGCTGAGGTCCTGATCGGTCACGTCTGTGTGCATGAACTGGTCGAATCTGCATGGCGGTTAAGGATGGAACATAGGACCCTCCCACCATGGGGGGGGGGGGGGGTTTACAAACATGGCACCTATCATGGTGTCACATGACATCAGACACAGAGCGGGGAGATAAAACTCTGCAAACTGATCCCCACCAATCACTGCTGGAGAAAGTGCGGCTCCAGGCTCCCTCCAGTGCCGACCACATGGAGGAAGTCTGGTGAAGCAGACATCATGTGACTGCAACTATTGACTATTTGGTGACTGGCACTGGAGGGAGCTGGAAGCAGAACGTTCACCAGGAACCCTCTATACAGAGGAGGTAGGCTGCTGATTGGTGTATTCAGTGACAGGCTCCGCCTCCTCCCGAAACAGGTCATGGAAAAGTCGGGGGCGGGGTGATAAAGCTCCTGGGTGTGCTTATTAAACCTGACAGATAATAGATAAACCCGGGGTGTCACCTACGGAGGAGCGGTCAGGACGCATGCCGTCTGGTGCAGTGGAGGCTCCTCCCATCACGCACTGGAGGCGGCCATCTGTGGCTGTGGGATTCTGTGAGGAACCACCACAGCCCCCCAGCACAGGGGGTGACAACCATTCTGAAAGGTCCTCTGCATGGGTGTGG